CTTTCTTTCTTTCTTTCTTTCTTTCTTTCTTTCTTTCTTTCTTTCTTGTTGTTCCTCATGGGTAGAACTTCTGAGTCTCCCAGGTTTTTAAAGTGGCTCAACTGGGCTGTCTTAAGGATGATGCAAACTGCATATTTTAGAAGCAAACTGCACATTGCTTATTTTTTAATTGTTTCTTGATATGATCCTTGGTTTTACTTCCGCACTTGGACTTTGCAGGATCTCTTATTTGAGGGAGTTAGGAGAATAATACCACTGTACTAAAATTTCGGCTCCTGCCTCTCCTCGGTGGATAGCTGTTCTTTTACTGATACAAGTGATGGGAAATCTCTGTCATGTTTTAAGTTACCTTGTAGCAGAATTTCTGAAACACAGTCATGAATTAGGGCTCTGCTCAATCTGCTGATGTGATTTAACACAGTGGCCTCCCATAATTTCTTTCATCCTTTTGAATGTTATCCGTACTAAGAAAAACTGGATTTTGGCTCCCATAAAACTGAATCATTCTTCCACGTTTTATTTAGAACCTGATCTATTTTTCACCAGATACTTAGAGGAAAAAAGAAAGAATACTGAAGAATATTAAACAACAAGAGAAGCTTCTCAGCCCTGTTTCGGTCCTTCTAAAATGTTCCTTTATAAATGAATGAAAGAAAGAACAAGAAAAAGAAAGAAAGAAAGCCTAGTAGACCATAAACAGATCGCACAATATCCTCTGACGAACTCTAGGACCACATATTGTAAATCACTGTATCTCTGTCTCCATTTAATATATTAATGTCATGTTTTTGTTTGTGACTTAGCATGAAGTATAACACTTAACCATTGCTATTTGTAAATTGTAATTTATAGCTTAGCATTATATATGATTCCAGTAATTTTGGTTTACTTGGTAGGCCATGGTTAAGGCAAATTACGTCAACCAAGATAATGTGTCAGATCCAGGGCAGATTACCCCAGGTAGTTCCACAACCATTTATCTTGGATATCTAAGATATAATCATGGCTGTAGTCAAAGTCATCTGACTGATAGGACAATTTTGGTTTAGGTTTTTTTTTTAAAAAAACCCTAAACCTTAACCCTAACTCCCAGCCCCTTCAGTATCTGTACTCATATAAAGTGAATATTTCTTATTGTTCTTTTAAAAAACTGGTCATTTTAAAACTATCCTAGAAACTGGAAGTAGCTTGATCATTGTTTCTGTAAGCCATCAAGCCAGTTCTGATCAAACTGACAAGATGCTCCTTTTTACAGAAAGTTGTCTTTGGTAAATGTATTTCTACTTTTTAATCCTCATGTCCTGTCAGAAGGTTCAGGCTACTGCACTGTGTTAAATATGCATGTTGCTACATTTACATGAGTTTATGTTATATGCAAAGTGGAGTCTGATGTCAGACTCCACTCATTGGTCTAGCCACTGGCGGGAAGATTGAATCCCCGTCAGTGGCTGAAGTGTTGGACAGCACCAGCTATAAAGCCGGCACCTGCTGCGTTGCTTGGCTTTTTGGATTCCGGCTTTAAAATAAAGAGTTCTTCGCACTCCTGAGTCCTGCTCCTTCCTTATCCACGCCCATTTAATACTGGCGGTGAGGATGGGATTCCGAGGAAGACAAGGACCTCGTGGGCACCACGGCCATTTCTCAGCTGAATCGCGAACTCGACCGTTCCAACCAACAGCGAACCAACATGGCCCACCGACTCCTATCGATCCCATTCGAGCCAACCAAGGAGAAGTGGTCCTCGTACATGGGAAGATTAAACCTAAATTTGGAACAGAATGCAGGCAGCATCTGACGCAAAGAAGAAGGCTTTCTTTTTAACCTATTGCGATTCAGAACTCTATGAACTAGCCGAAGTCCTCATTGCAGATGAGCTGGCAAACATCTCCTGGGACGAGCTACAACAAGCACTGAAGGGGCATTTCAACCCTACCCCATCGTACCTGGCAAACCAGAACAACTTCTATATCCAGAGCCAAAAGGAGAGGGAAAGCATAAATGATTTCATGGCTGCATTGAGGAGACTATCAAAAAACTGTAAATTCTCAAATGCTGAAGCAATGATCCGGGACCGGCTAGTCCTCGGCCTCAGGGACTTAACCTTGCAAAAGAGACTGTTCGCAAGGGAGGACGTCTCATTCAAGGAGACCCTGGAAGAAGCAAAAGCTGCGGAAGCCTCCGACTGTTTGGCAGCCCAAGTCAAGGACAGCAGCAAGGTCCACGCCACCCATGCCGCGAGGAGGGCACCATGTAGTCCATCCCGCTCTGAAAGCAGTGACATTGAGGAGGAAGATGTCCACCAGGTAAAATCCAGCAAACCTGGAACTGCCAAGGGGGCCAAGCCTTGCGGAGGCTGCGGAGGGAACCATCCCCGGTCTGCCTGCCGTTTTAAGGAGACCATCTGCAGGCAGTGCAAGAGGAAAGGCCACATCACGGAAGTCTGCAGAGCCAGCCAACCAACGGACAAACAGAGCCGCAGGGCATACTCCCCAACCAAGCAATACAAGGGTCGGAAGAATTCTGGCATGAAATTCAAAAAACAAGATGGCGTCTGGGAGGAGGAGACCCACCATACCTTTGTGGGCTATGCACATGCCCGAGTGGGACACACAGACACTTTTGAATCCAACAAGATCCTCACCCAGGTGAGAATTGAAGGGACCCTGTGCCCGAAGGAAGTTGACTCCGGGTCTTATATATCCATGATTTCTTGGGCAGCCCTACAAAAGATCAACTCCTGCATCAGCCAGAGCCAGCTGCAGCCGCAACGAACCATACTGAAGGACTACCAAGGTTGCAAAATATCGGTTCTAGGGAAGAAAACATGCCACGTGGAATACGGAGACTTCCGGGGAGCCCTGCCACTGACCATCATGGACCAAGATCTCCCCAGCCTCCTAGGGAGAGAATGGTTTGTGCCGCTGTAGATCAGCCTCACAGGCATCCACGCAACAGCAATGGCCAGATCAAACAGCGGAAGCAACCTAGATGCTTTGGAGAGGGAATTCCGGGACATCTTCAGTAGTGAGCTGGACAAGTATAAGGGTTTTAACCTTGACCCCAACATAGCCCGTGTCCAACTGAAGTCCCGGAGAGTCCCTTTTGCTCTGCGGCCCAAGGTTGAACTGGTAGACCATGCGAGGTGGGAGACCCCTATAGTTACCCCTGTGAAGCCCGAATCTGTGCTGACTACAAGAGTACCCTGAATCGCGCGCTGCAACAGAGCGCAAATTTGGTATCAGTGGTTCAGCACTTATTACATTCCTTGGGCCGGGGCAAGATCTTCGCCAAATTGGACTTAGCCCAGGCATATCAACATCTGCCTGTGGATGCCGCCACTGCCGAAGCGCAGACGATCAAGACCCACAGGGGCACCTTTAAATGCAAGCGGCTGCAATTTGGAGTTAGCATAGTCCCCAGCCTATTCCAAAGCATCATGGAAAGGCTGTTACAAAATCTTCCAGGAGTTGTCCCCTATTTTGACGATGTAATAATCTCAGCCGGAGACAAACCTCAGCTAATGAAGTGGGTCAGAGCAGTACTAGAACAATTTCAAGAAGCGGGGCTAACGTTTAAAAAGGACAAATGCCACATTGCCGTACCGAGCATAGAGTTCTTGGGCTTCCTAATCGATGGGTCAGGCATCTGACCCACGGAAAGCAAGATGAAGGTGACTAAGGAAGCCCCCACCCCACAAAATAAGGCTGAACTTCAAGCCTTCTTGGGTTTACTAAATTTTTATAACATATTTTTGCCACAGAAGGCAACCATAGCTGAACCACTCCATAGACTACTGGATAAAAATACAACCTGGAAATGTGTCCCCCCCCTCCCCCCGAAGACACCGCGTTCACCAAAATAAAAGACATTTTAACATTGGATACCGTACTGATGCAATGTAGCAAGACCCTACCTCTAAAGCTAACCTGCGATGCATCACCATATGGCATCGGGGCAGTACTGAGCCACAGATTACCGAATGGAAAGGAAGCCCCCACAGCCTACTATTCTAAGACTTTGTCGAAAGCCAAAAGGAACTACGGCCAAATAGACAAAGAAGCCCTTGCTGCCGTAGCTGGAGTGAAACGTTTTCACAATACCTCTATGGCAGACACTTCAAGTTAGATATTTTCTGCAGATTCTGATAAAAGTAAGTTTTTCGCCTTTTAGAAAGCTGTGGTACTTTATGAGGTGTCCATTTTTACAGTGGACCTGTAAAAATTAAATAAACTCCAACCAGATGGATTTTTCTTGGTCCTGCTAGTCCTTCATCTCTGTTCTAACAAGACCTTAAGTGCTGTGTCCCCTCCCCAATAGGAATTGCCAGGGAGTTATTACGTCTGTATTCTTCAGGTAGTTGGACAGATAAGTGATTTAAGCATGAAGAATGAAATATTTCTATTTTAATCTTATTATTTATTCCTTCTCTGGCCCTGCCAAGAATAATTTCTTTAGAGATTTAGTTGTCCAACGTCTCCCATACACACACACTTGTTTTGGTGTATGATTTTTATTTTGCCTGTATTAGGAAAATCTTCATTTGGTACTCCAGTTTTGGAGAGGTTAAAAACAGGGCATATTGCCTTTATTTGTAATATGTAGAATGTTGTTTATTCTTATGTAACCTAATAATGTAGTTGGCATAATGAAATGGGTCAAAGCTCTGTGTATTGTTGTTAACCTCTGACAAATAACCAGTACCAGCTGGCATGCCGAAGGTTGCAAAGTGATTTGCAAACTGCTTTCAAAATAAAATGTGTCCATTTTGTATAATTATTCTGTGCAACGAAATAAATTCTTCAGCAAATATTCAGAATT